ACGATTTTTTTATTATCATGTCCTGCGTTTTTTTGTGCGGGACAATTCAAGTGGACATTGTAGCCTGATATTATTGCTCGTAAAATGATAAAACGGAAATAAAAGCAAGATCATTCTGATCATCCTCTCGAATGTAGCTATCACTGCGAATCAGCTATAAGAAAAAACGCCGTGCGAACATTCGAGCGTTGCCAGCTTTTTTTATGGATGAACTACAAAGTAGGTGTATCATATCAGTGGGGGCGGATTTTGGACCCACCCTGAATTTCTTCAAGTCTATGATTTTTTGCTCATTGAAGGTCTATAATTTACGGAAGGCATTATATTAGGTAATTTTCAGGTTCATTATGACCCAAACGTGGCCAAAAATGTGAAATTTCCGGGTTCCAGTCAAGCATCCTCGAAAAAATAGAGATAGGGGTTAAGACTCAACTTGGACTTTTCCAATTAGTTGTGGTACTACCTCAATAAATTAGATTACTCACCCAAATGATCTGGTCCTACCCCAACTTGAGTTCTGATACAACCAAAATTAATTGGAAATGTCCATATCATCCAATAAATTAGGGTAGAACCACGAGTATAAGGAATAACCCCTATAACACTTTTATCCGTGCCAATAAGGCCACATTTTCCGCCAAAATGTGGCCTTCAGACCAATGTTTAGGCCAGTTTTGTACCTGAAAACAGATTGAATATGACCAGATCTTGATGCATTCCGTAAAATATAGACTTTCAATACGCAAAAAATTGTAGAGTTTAGGAAACCGGGCTTGGCTGAACCCTAAATACAGCTCTTATCGATACCCTTTCTTTATTGGAAACTTGCGAATTTTCTCTGCGAATTATTAAGAAAATTTTGTTATCAAATATTTTTGTGGTCAATTTAAGACCTCATCTCTTACAATGTCGAAGAAAAATATTCCTAACGTCCCTCGAAAATGGACTTTTCATCGAGAGGACTTTAGCCACCGCCGAAATTCATACATTTTTCCTTGGCACGGTAGAAAAACGGTAATCACTCCATTAGCGGATATGGCATCGCCGCCGACAGCGGTCAAAAGTTATGATCTCAAGTCACCGCGTGACTCTTTTATTTCAAAAACAAGAACAATGATACGAACTTGCAGGGGCAACTGCATAAACTCGCGGGTTTGACTTTCATGTTCTCTGACTTCACTTTTTCGGTCATTTTACGACGTGTTTGCTCACCGATCCACCGCGATCGTCTCGTCATAACCAATTTTACGACGTAAAAGTGAAAGCATTGTCTTCTCCGGAGCCTGAATATCGGTACGTCACCGGAGACAGCAGCAACACTAAATCAGTCGATAAGTGTGTAGCCGCCAATTTAATTTCGCTACCACCCGAGGCCCGAGGCATCTACCTCTTTCTGTTCGGTGCTTATAACCTTCAATTTTTATCCATCGATCGTATCTTAAAAAGTAATCGTTTAGTGGCTTGAGCTTTAGCTCAGGAAAGACTCAAATTTCAAAAATGAGATTGTGTGCGAGACGAAAAAATTGCGCATCAGACGAAAAAGTTTCTCTCGCGCAGAGATCGCTCTCAGATCAAATGATAATTTTTTAACATGGAACCATATCGCTGCTCAACCTAAGAGTGGAGAAATTTCATCGCGTGGAGGCAGGAAATCAAAAAAAGCTCCGAAATTTTACAAAATAAAAAAAAATTGTCGAGTTAGAGTATTGCTTCGTTTTCCTACCAAAAAAATAAGTATATGCGAAAACGTCGATACTGCACATGCACAGTGAAGTTGATAGTTTCGAAGTTGTACCCCAGATTTCTCGATTATTCATTTAATCACGCGGTATTACCATTACGTGGACTCACCAAATCGGCCTCCGTGAATCATCAGATTTCGATCGCCCGATAAAGTTGGTACAGCGGGATGACTATTAGACAGGAGCAGGGAAGCCCATCGGATGTTGGCCAACGCTTTGCCATTGGCCTTCACACACCTGGATGAATGATGTTGTTCGCACCTCGATCTGGTGACTGGTGAGTCACCGATTGGTCAGTGCGTTGATTCGCAAGCGGCCTGGACCCTGCGAAAGTTATTAGGAACAATTCGGCAGTGTTTACACGGAGGATGCATTGCGCAAGCGAGATTCGTCGGAATCGCTTGATGAGACCATCACGATCTGCTGCTCATTCAATGCCGTCATGTTTGATATCCTGAAAAATACGCCGTTTGTTTGATAGATGTTGGCTCAGTTTGGAAATGCACTTTTGGATCGCATTTAGCAAGAAGGAACCGGTGCGATTACAGTGTTTTCGAACTCATGCAGCTCCTCCTTCTCTTTTTACATATGGAATTCGCGCTAATATTTTTAATGTAAAATAAAGAAAATGCGGAAAAATACAAAGTAAAGATACACATGACCCGAGAGCTCATCTTACCACAATGAAAGTGAATTATTATTTTTTTTCGAGTGGGGCAGTTTTCGAATCAAGACATTCAACCATCTTTCATTCCAACTGCAAGGCCCTTTTGTCAGACTGGATCACACACTATCTCTGGTCACAGTTTTCGGGGGTTTTAATTTTTTCTCCGAACAACGAAATCTCCATCGAGAGGCACAAAATCCCCTAATTATTCAACAGTGGCTGCCTGAGAATTGGACGATCTGGATCGCATCATTCGGTCTTTACATAACATCGCGATCTCCGTATTTTTTCCGCATGCACCGGTCGTCTTGTTGCCAAACTTTTGACAAATATTAAAAAAACCCTTAAATAATGCTTTTTTATTTGACTTTTTTCTACCGAGTTGGCAATCTATGAGAGCATTGCTCCGATAGTAGCTCATCCGTGTTCGAGTTTTACTGGATTGCTCGTGATTAACCGTTCGGCGTGGCCTTTTGGCGCGTGCAATTTCGGCTCGCGTGTCCCATAACGTCGCTCCTACGGCATAAGGGCGTATCTCAATTTCTATATGAGCCCTAAGCTCCGTGTAAGTCCATGCGTTCCGGGGCTCATGTAGAAATAGAGATACGCGCCTACCAGTAGCGTGGCGTGAATTGCGATGTATCGATTGTTATTGCCTTTTAAACCTATGGAAAAGGATCGATAAACAGGGTGTTCGCAGCGAACACCTAAATAATCGATTCTCTAACATAGATTTAAATGGCATAACAATCGATACATCGCAATTCACGCCACGCCACTGGCGCCCACACGCTAGAAGAGTAACGATAATAGCCACCGCTGCCCGATTTCCAGCGGCGATTAGCGCAAGTTGGCAACACTGGGTCCTTTTCATCTAATAGAACATATAGCGGGAGTAATTAAACATCGAGATGTCGAATACATTTCACTAAAATACCGCTTTTAATCGAAACTTTTGGCAAAAAAAAAGACCCATTACCTATACTGAGCAACACATTCCAGTCGTTTTTCTTTCTCGATAAAATATTGTTAAGAGCCTTCGATTGATAGTAAATTTTACATTGGATCAATCAAATGAATTGGTTTATTTTTGCCCTCGTATACTATTGCAGGACCGCGTTCAACAGAAAGGAACCAAGCCACATCAGCTATTGCCAAATTGAATCGGGCAATTCAATTTTTATTCCCTGTCTCTTATATTACTTGGAAAAATCATCGAGGACAACTATATCAGAATGAGCGCTGAACATTGAAAGAAGGAGGTGGCATTAGTCTCCTAATGCTATGCTTGATATCAGTGAAACTGCGAAGTAACCAAATCACTGCTCCCGAGCCGCTCATATTGCCGAATGAGTTATTGAAGGCGAACTGGTGTTAGCGAAAGAGAAACGATGAGAGATGAGAGTGAATTAAACCGCTACAGCTATGAATAAACCGAGTGAACGCGGCCGAAAGGCTGCAAGCAACCATCACTGCTCCCAAGCCACTCACATTGCCTTTTGCGATATTGAAGGCGAACCAGTCGGACCAGGTCGCTGCAGCTATGAGCAATGACCGAGTGATCTTTGGCGGAATGCGCTGAGCAACTATTACTACTTCCAAGCCGCTCACATTGCCTATCAAGGTATTGAAGGCGAACCAGTCGGACTAGGTCGCTGCAGCTATGAGCAATGACCGAGTGATCTTTGGCGGAATGCGCTGAGCAACTATTACTACTTACAAGTCGCTCACATTGCCTATCTAGGTATTGAAGGCGAAATGGTCGGAATGAGTGAGAAACAATGCGAGCGGAGTTTCGGTTATGCCATTCCTATTTTAACTATACAGGCGAGTCTGTCCGCCACCATATCAAAATAGAAGTTAGGTCGTTATTTTGCGTATTTTAGCTATAAAAAAACAGCCACGTTAACTCACAATCTAATCGATTAAATAATTAAATCTTATCTTAGGGTCATTTTGTGAACTTCAGTGAACACAATGTAACGTTTATTAATGCGGAATTCAAATGTTAGGCTATCCATGTTGTGCCGTATCATCGCGTCGGAGATAGGAGGCACTGCAAGGAGCTCACTAGGCTCTGATAAATTAGGACGAAGATAACGCGTGAATTGCGATATATCGATTGTTATGCCTTTTAAACCTATGGAAAAGGATCGATAAAGAGGGTGTCCGCACCGAACACCTAAATAATCGATTCTTTAACATAGATTTAAATGGCATAACAATCGATACATCGCAATTCACGCCACGCCACTGACACAAACAAATGGACCGCGTTTAGCAGAAAGGAACCAAGCCACATCGGCCATTGCCAAATTTGACCTGGCGATTTAATTTTTTACAAGAGAACGTTTGTGCGGATTCCTACGAAAATTTAAAGGCATTTGCTTCGTACTACGCGGAAAATTCACTGAAATTTTTACGCGCATCCGCCTAACCGTTTTCATGTAAAAATTGAATTGCCCGATTAAATTTGGCAATATCTGATGCGGCTTGGTTCCTTTCTGCCTAGCGCAGTCCAAATTATACATGATTTCTATGACCTTTGCTTGCTCACGGCCCCCCTCCTGCAGCTGAGTTTCTTGTCTCCCTTTCCTAAGTAAGCGACCTATTCAATCTTTCCTTGCAATGCTACAGTATAAGCACTGTTTAATACCCTGTTACACGTATTTATAAGAATGTATATAAGTATATTTACATAAAGCTGCTGTAGGTTGTTGAAACTCCAATTATTTCAGTAAGTTCACTTCTAATACTCTTTTAAAATGCATTAGTTTTGGGAAAAATTCATTTTTTGTATAAATCTGTACCTTCCGTTACCTCCATATTTTACTGTACACGTTTAGGTACCCCAAGGGAGACAATGTGAAGTGATTTGAGAAAATGTTTGATGGTGCTAATTTTACTTCTAATGTCTATGTGTTTTTTGATTATGTTTTATTTTTTCATTCATTTATGTTTATGTTAATCTTTACCAAGGTCAGAGTACAAGCAAAAATTAGAATGTGAACTCCATACTGCCGTGAGCCATTTTTCGTGGTTCAACAATCCATTCAACGCCTAGTGTCGAATGTTGGTCATTTCCCGCATTTTGTGCTTTTAACTTGCTTTAAAATCAGTAAATTGCGACCTCATTAAAAATAAATACTCACACTTGTTGATCCTGGTGAAAATATCTACATTCAACCTTTCACTTTTTTCTGTCACTGGTAAAAGAAACCCTCTTGGACCAATGCCGCATTGCATTGACTTAAGAGTGCAGTTTCTTGTCGCCGGATTTAAGAGTCTTGAACTCTTGTTTCAAGCGGATTTTGCATTGATTCAAGCGGATTTTGCATTGAAACAAGAGTCCAGACTCTTAAATCCGGCGACAAGAAACTGCACTCTTGAACCAAGAGGTTTTTTTTTTACCAGTGATATAATAATTAGTTTCCTTAAAATAGTCAGCTATTCAATTCCTTATTCCCTCACTTTGACCTGTAAGCATAGTAAACCGTACACAGGGCTTTATATTATGAGATATGTGCAAATCCTAGGACTCGTGCCACCCGTTGCAACCTCAAAACTGAATAAATGAAGTGAACACATATATCTGATACTGGTCGCGTTTAAAACATCATTTTATTTGATCTGAAATAAAAGGAAACAAGGATCATATTTTTCATACCTGACAAAATTATGGAATTTGTAAAGTAGCATTTTGAGGTGTCAAAAGATAATTAAAGGGAGTCCCGTCACTTTATTATTATAATAAAGCAAGCAATAAGCTTATAATAAGCTTTATTTGCATTGA